TTCTCTATGGCAAATTTTCCTAAGGGTCCATATTTTATAACAATACAAAAAGTGCCTTTATGAAAAAGTGATTGTGCATTATTGTTTAAATTAAGTGGACGTTTTCTGACTGCAGTTACTACCTTGTTGTAGTAAGAATAAAAATGAAAGCATGATTTTAGATCCAAATATTTATTTTTTCTATATCTTGGCTGATCATCATATTAACAGTCGCTAACGGCTACTAGAGAAATATAACAAGTCATATTGTAGTTACTTGATTGGGTAGATAAAAGTAAAAAAAATTGATAAAAGTAAAGGCATTTTTTATTATTTAAAAAAATTGTTTTAGCTTTTAAAATCTGCCATTAGTTTATTTCAATTTCTAACTTTTTTAAGTAACGGAAAAAAACGAATTTTCTGAGGAAATAATTGCATTGTTACGAGTTTGTAAATATTTGTATAATTTTGTGAGTATTCTTTTGTTAAATGGTAAATATCTGAAGTGGACTCCAAATGAACAGTTTAATTTGAAATTTTTCAAGAAAATCGAGTATTTCTAACGTAGTTAAGAAAGAAAATAACGCCTTTATTTATTTCTTGTGGAAGACTCGGTTTGGCGACAATTTTTGCCGATATGGAAAAATTTCGGTTACCATTTTGCGAAACTTGGCATCCCTTTTGGCAGCAAAATGATTGTTCTGGAAAATTCGAGTTTTGAAGTGATGGGACTAATCAACACCTCCTAGAAAAGAGTAGGCCTCTGCACGGGTTACCATAAATATCCTTTAGTAGTCCAAACGTAATGACATATGTCGTATTTTCAACCACTGCGCAGCTTAGTACCCGGAACGTAATGACATCTTTCTTATTTTTCATCTACTGCGCAGTTAACTTCGTCACATCGGACTACTAAATTGATCCGTGCTGAGGCCTTCATACTTCTAGGAGGTGTTGGACTAATACTCACGGAGTTATACGAGAATTTTCTTGAATTGCATCGAAAGTTCTGATATTTCGTCGGCAAGCCTATATAAATAGGAGTGCGCCTCGCCCAGTAGAGAGTATTAATCTGTTTGTGACGGTAGCTGTGTTCTGACTTGAGTTAGTTCATTGACTCATCTTAGATTGTTAAGCTTTTGCTTTGTTGTGTACTACACTTTATTTGAGCTGTAATTGAGTGCAAAAAATTGCTATTTTCTGGAAAATTCAGCTATTAAATGTTTGGAATCTTAAGGACTGTTTTATTAATCTCCAATAGTATACGGTAACAAGTGACCAAAATATTTAATTTTAAGCAATCAATGTAATCGATATGTACGATTCTAAGCAGTCATTTTTACCAGCAATCATAATCAACGAATAATATTAAAAATAGTTACTGCGAGAATACATAAACATGTTGTACATACATGAGCACTTAAATACACTATATGTCTATGCGTATATATATGCACGAAAGAGCACTGTATATAAATGCTTGCATGAATAAGTAAAAAAAATTGAATGCTTACATACATTCTAATCCTTACATAGTTCATAGTGCATAGTATTTCCGTACTTACGTACATTTTATGTTCAACTGTACATGCATACGTAAGTAGGACACACTGTGTATTTAAGTTTGCATGCATGTACACAAAGTATGTAAGCAAACATACGTATGTGTGCATAGATACACATACAGTGTACGCATGTACATAATGTACCTGCACACATAAAATGTATGTAAAAATATACAATGCGCAATGTGTGTATGTAAAAATATACATACGTACCAGGGGTCTGTCCAGACATTTTGTGAAAGGTCCGTTTTTCGTGAAATTGTGAAAAAATTACTCAACCAGGGTCCGCTTTTATGAATTTGTGCAAATAGGGACCGGTTATTGCAAAAATTTTTTTCAAGGACTTTTTAAATTGTAAATAGATACAAGATTATGCTCGGCACTGTAAAATTATAATAAAAAAGATAAATTTTTAAAAATAAGCAGCAATTGTTGCTTCTAAATTAGAGATGCAACATTTGATATTTAGCCTATACTGCTGAACGCAGAATATTCATTTCGGACGAATAATGGAAGAATCGTCTGCCGAAGACAAAACTTAATTCGTTTACATCCATCTTTCTTGTTTTCTGCCCAAGGAAGGGTTTATTCGATTAACAAAACGATAATGAAGATAAACAAATTTGTGAAGGGTCCAATTAAAAGAAAAACCATTTTGTGAAGGGTTCGTTTTTAAGTTAAAATATTTTGTGAAGGGTCCGCTTTTAAGTTCCAAATTTCCTCTAAACAGACCCCTGCGTACGTATATGTAAGTACATATGCTTACGTATAATTGTACATACAAAACACGTACAAAGGAATATATACAATACGTATGTTCATACAATATACTTGTAATCGGGATTACTATTTTCAATGTATGAATTCACGTAAGCAAAATATATGTATATACAATTACACATGCAATCGGCATATATATGTATACTGCCATATAGAGATACTGCCATATAGAGATAGATAGAGATATGGNTATATATATATATTGTATATATTGTATATATTGCAACTTGCTATGAAAATAGCATAGTGCTTGCATTTTTTACTGGTTATTCAAAATTTATTCAGAAAAATTAGTCATGACTGATGAATTTATTCATCAATCATTATTCAAAAATTTACATAATGAATGATGAATAATGACTAAATTTACATATGAATAATCATTCAGAATAAATTTATTCTGACTAAATTTTTGTCAAGAATAAAATTTCCGTGAATGATGCCCATCACTGCTTGTAAGGAATTATGTGCGCATTCTTCCTTTAATTTATAGCGGAAGCTCATGTTAACTTAGTTTAATTGTAAAGATCTAACCACTTTTGTAGTGGGAGAATTTATTGAAATTTGTGTGCTAATGTGCGAAATACGATCAGAATTTCTTTAATTATTATATTAACATTTTAATGGTCCATTTAATGCTTGCAAAGGTAAGCTAAAATATTTTTGGAATTGAAAGTGTGATATGAGAATGAAAAACTCAAATAGCTTGTTAGATAACATTTAATTAAATTGTAACGCAATTTTTCATTGTAAGTATGTTAATCCATTAGGTGTCATAATAAAGTAAGCAATTTACTGAATTTTATTTACTTATAAAATTATTATGCATATTATAACTTTTTACAAGTATTTTAAAAGTATTACATGGTCACCAGTTTTATTTCAACTTAGTTTATCAGTGCTGAAGTTATTAAGAGATAAAAACCTGAACAAAAATTTTCAAAATAGTTTAACATAGAATTTCAAAAGTTGGTGGTAAGTTTACTTATTACGGCCTTATACATGGTTCAGTTACTTAATTCGAATAAAAAATATGTGAATGTAATTAATCTCATTTTCCCTTTTAAATAGTTCATTAATGTGAGTTTAGTAGGTTCAACTAATGTTAGTTAGCTCCTGACAAATGTAGCTCCAGCGTGAAAACGTGGTTTCATGTTGGAAATCCTGCGTGGTTTGAGGCCTGTATATCTGTTGGAGATCATCCCAGTCTAAATTCATTTTTTTGGATTAATTTTGTCACCACTGTTTCATACCTTACGACTCAGATGAATGTTATGCGCAATTATGAGTGTGTATATACCATAACTTCTGAATGTTAATTTGCAAATGAATTTATTTCAGGAACAACAACAATTATGGCTTCAACAACAGAAATCGTGTCGAAAAAACCGTTTTATTTGAAAATGGATGGCATTATATACCCAGGTGTCTTTTCACAAAAATGTTTCCGTGAAGCTATGGATTACAAACCTCAAGCGGAAGACGTTTTTATCGTGACTTATCCAAAATGTGGGACAACATGGATGCAAAATGTAGCTCTTTACATTTTTCGTAAAGGAAAAGAGCTTGAAGAAATGTCTCAGTTTCTGAGGCATTGCCCTTTTATAGATATGTGTGGCAAGGAGAGCATTGACAAGATGCCAAGACCTGGTGCATTTAAAACTCATCTTCCTTATACCCATATGCCATATTCCTCTGAAGCAAAATACATTTTTGTTGCCCGCAATCCCAAAGACTGCGTCGTGTCTCTTTTCCACCACACTAGAAATCAACCTGGATTTATGTACTGGGATGGTGAGTTTGATGATTTTTTCGAGCTTTTTATGGCTGGTCAAGTAGAGTTTGGTGACTACTTTGATCACTTATTGTCTTGGTACCCACATAGAAATGACCCCAATCTTTATTACACCACTTACGAAGATATGAAGAAAGATATAAAGAAAGTAATTGTCGATATGGCTAAATTCCTTGGTGATGAGTTCATTGGCGCAATTGAAAAAGACAATTCAGTTTTGAATAACATCGTGAATTTTAGCAGTTTTGAATACATGAAAAAGAATTTTGGTGAAGTATATAATTTAAAACCAAAGGAAGGTGAGACACTTACGGAACCAAACACTTATGAAGGTTTGCAGCATGTCAGGCATTTAATTTCTGAAATAGATTTGCCGAAAGAATTACCTGAATTAAAATTTATTCGGAAAGGAATCGTTGGAGACTGGAAGAATGCTCTGACTGAAGAGCAAGCTGAAAGGCTGGATCGGAAGTTTAAGGAGAAAACTGAAGGGACAGATATTCCGAATTGGTTTTCCACTTCATAAGAATGATTACTACATATGTAAATACTGTTACACATGTTAGAATTGTGGAAGTTATTAGAACATAAATTTCATAAGAAAAAAAAAACTTTTAATTTAGTTTATGTTAAAAATGATTAAAGAATATTGAACATTAGTTATGACATATTTTCTTAGTTGCGGTCGATCAATTTTTCTTAAGTACACTAAGAAAAAAAGGGAAACAAAATTTTAGTTTAATTAAATCATATAAAGTAAACTACGTTTAACTAACTTATACAGGGTTTCTTCATGTCTTACATTTTATAATAGTGATAGTAAAATTACGTTAATGCCAGTTAAAAATTCCTTTTTTTTAAAGGTCCCACTGTAGCGTTTAGATATCTGACACGTAAATAAGCCAGGAGACTCAAAACGAAAATGAAGAAATTTAAAAATAAAGAATATCTATATATTTGAACTTCATAATTGTTTAGTTAACGAAAAATAAGATAATTAATAAAAATTTCGTTTTCAATTTCTTAAATTCTTCTTAAAGTTTTTTTTACGACGGTTAAAATACCGTAAAGTTTTGCATTCATTGTTTTTCAACCATAATAGTTGTAAACGGTTTCAAAACCGTATTGGCAAAAAGTGTTCTTATGTTAACATAACGGTTAATTGGATGGATAAACAACTCCCGGTTATTTTACCATTACTTTAGTGTAATTCTAACAGTGTGCATGAAGCCCTCATTACTTCTTAACTATTAGTTCCATCAAAACAATAATAATTCTATTCTCTTCATTCGATTCAGCATAAAAAAACATCAAAGCGACACCAAACTTCTCCAAATAGCAAGACTTATATCCTCTTATCCCTGTCCTCACTTCATCATAACTTTCTGAGAAAGAATATAAAGTAACCCAATAACTCGAAATTATGTTCATATCATGTACTTACAAAAATGAAGAATTCATTGCTTTTGCGAAAAATTATAATAAATTTTTATAATATATCGCTCCACTATCTTAACTAAGTCAAAGTAATTTCATACTGATGACAAAAATAGCATTTAATTAAATATTTGAAAAATAAAAAGCAATATTCACATATAAAAATATGTAAGATCGTGAATTTCATAAATGTTTTATTTTCTTTCATATTTGCAACTTATACTACTGTTATATAAATCAAGAGATCGAAATTCTAAAAATAATGTAATAATATTATAAATAAAATAAAATTATGTACCCTGGCTCTAATCTATATATTAACAACTCGTCGCTGATATGTTAGCAAAATTAAATAGTACCTTGCGCTCTGCAACAAATTAAAGATTTTGCAAACATTTATTCTTACTTATCAATAAATTGAATCACTTGGTTTTTGTTCAACCCGGTTCAATGTTTCGTTCGATATTTTTTTCATCCATTTCGTTCCATTCATTTATCTTTTCTTCAACTCTATCGATGGAAGGATCCAAAAAATGACATAGTCGACGAAATCAACGAATCGGCAAAACTACCCAGTGCACTAAGAAAAATTTCTACAAAATAACACTGTTGAGAAAAAGACTCATTATGCTTAGTTATCAGAGGATAATCCTCGTTCATAAATGAGCATTGCTTTATTAAAATTTAGGTCTACGTTATACGCTCACCATCTTATTGTCAGTTTATTTTATTTTATTTTATAACCGTCGTTGAACAGCCGACCCAATTTCATGGGTTTACGACTACTTACGTTTAACTCCGTAGCCTTGTAGTTTTGAACCAATCCAGAAGACAAGGAAACTCCTAGATCAGTACCCCCAGAGGTATTGATTTGTTGTGGGAACATGGAGGACTTTGAGACTCGACAGATTTAACGTGCATCAGTCACCATTTACTACACGGGGAGTCTTCGACCGGCGAGGATCGAACCCACGACCTCTTGTATATGGGCCCAGCGTCCTACCGACCAGAAAATTAAAAATATAATTTTCAGTTCTAAAGTTATTTCTGTATCCAACAATATCGCATTGATTTCGTTGATTAATCGCGTGTGCATATTTCTATTTATTATGGTTTATTAATTCAGTATATTTTTTCCCCTTTATCTCTTACCTTACTTGCTCTATAAAGAACCATTCAAAGTAGTTACAGCAAGTACCTTTACCATGCTAATATATAAAAATCTGTTATAGAATTAAATGAGAACAATGAAACTCAGAAATAAATATGCTTAAACGGCAACTTAAATACCAAATGTGCAGGTATTTCATATCTTTCGCGTGATGTACAGCAAAAGGTGTAGTATTTAAAATTTGAAAAAAAAAATGCCAAATCTCTGGCAATTGCAACATAGAATACTCATTTCGCTTTAGATTAAGTTTTAAAAATTTAGACACGAAACAAAATTCACCAAATTATGAAGAAAAAGAAATGACGTGACCTGCAACCTAACAAAGACCCTAAAAATACTTTCAGAATTGCACGTGACAATGAAATACCCCAATCGACGAAATGACTAGTTAATGAAAATTCACTTCCAACGATACAACACCGCCGACGAAACGACCATGCCGACGAATAGACTCGTTGGTAAAATTAACCTGTCGACGTAATGACCTTGTTGATGAAACGACCCTGTCGACGAAATGATCCCTTGTCGACGAAATGGCCCGTCGACGAAACAGTCTTGTCGACGAAATGACCTAGTCGAGCAAATCATCTGTCGACGAAATGACCTTGTCGATGAAATCATCTGTCAAAGAGGTGTCGATGAAACGGCATGTCGATGAAGTGATTCTCGATGAAATGAATCAGACCTGTTCATACGATGTAAGTGATATTAAAACTAAAAGAGCATTGAAATAGCATTAGCGGATGGAGGAAGAGCGTTTCCGTTCAGCACATGTGACGTCATGACCAATCAGGGATCGTTTTTACTTACTTACATCACTTACGGAGGCCTTTTCGGGCAAATTAAATGTTTAACAACTAAATAAATAAGCATTTGGCGGAAAAATAATCAAATTTTTGGTTTCAGGAGAGAATTTCCAATAAGTGGGGATTAAAAGTGAAAAGAAAATTAAGAGTTGTTATAATAGTCCATTCTAACTTACAAAATCTAAAATTAGAAATGAATCAGTTAAATGTTTCTTGAGAAAGAGAAATTTAAAAATACCACTTTTTCTGAAATTTCCTTACTACGAAACTATTCAGCCGATTTCATTGAAGCTTCGTATTTTTCATTAAATTTTTACAAAATTTGAAATGAACTAAAAATTTTATACCTTACAGTTCAACAATTGTTTTACTGATATTGAATTAAATAGTAAAAATAAGTAATATTTCGAAAGCAATTATATTTAAATGAAAATATCTTTGGATAAGCCAGTAAACCACAATCATAAACCAAACGAGGTTTATGATTGTGTGCAAAATGCATTTGATCTGTTTAAATAGTCCCATCGATCTGGTGAAGAAAATAAAATTTAAATTATGAGGCCTAATTTTTTGACAGCCAACTATTATTCAAAACTATTGAACAGCAGCCCCTTCTATTTTGAGAGCTAAGAATCCAAATAAATCGAAAAAATACAGGTTTATCATGCAAAGAAAGTACGACTTTAGTCAGATTTAGTAATTTAAAATATCATCTGCATTGATTAAAATATTGAGAGTGAACCTGCTGAACCACAATTGTTATTTCGAGCATGAAAATCACATAATGAGATCAAAAGTTCTTAACGTGTTCTCTTTCTTATTTTAACATACTTTAAACATCAAATTTTCCTAATTTTATGAATCAAATAGGTTTTTTTTGTATAAATACAGTCTTATGAAGTATATAGCTTATTTTTTTTCATGTGCTGGGAAATTTATTCCCAATACAAAATTGCGATGTATTAAAAAGAAATAATTTGTTGTAAAATATTATGCCGTCAAAATAAATATCTAGTGAACTCAGCAATCTATAGAAATAATCTGCTACGTGAAAGAATATGTGTAGTTTCGGCGACTAAATAATAAAAAAAAATATCTGAAAAATATTTTTAATAGTTTAATTACACAGCATTATTTTCCTTTATTCATTTTCTAAGAAGATAAGAAAAAAGCGAGAGCAGCTTTTCACTAGTTGGAACCACGAATTTTTTATTCCTTTTTCTGATATACAACCAAAAGTGGGAGATAAGTAAAGCAAAATAATGAATTAACTATTTTTAAAGTTTCCAAAAAAAAAGTCTTACTGGTTTATCTGAATCAAAATTGGAAATTAATTTTTGGAAAAAAAAATTGCTCAGTGTCGGCCTTATAGCTCAAGCTGATTATGACTTACAACTCTTTGTTATGGTAAATTGCTGACATCAAACGACAAAGAGAATGACCATTAAAACCTATGCTAACAAATACTGACATCAATCCTACCAATATTGACACCAAAGCAACCGTAACATTGGCACTAAAGCTACCGTAACATTGATACCAATGCTTATTTAAAAATTGGTAAAATGTTTAACATGGTATTTTTGATGAAATCAAAACGCAACAGGCTTAAATTGGAGAGTCAGTGCTTTAGATCAAAATTTGTGGAACAGTTTTGACAAGGCATTCATGCAGTAGATAATCAGTCTCATTTGAAGAAAATCATAATGTTCATGCTAAAAAATAAGATGAAAAAGTTATGGTAAAAACAGGAAATATCTCATGAAAAAGAATATTTCCGACAACTCTCTAATTATATTTCTCAGACTAAATTTTACCCTAAGCTCTAGACTTGTAAAATTATGAATAAGCAATTATCTGGAAAAAGATATTAAGTTCATAAAGGAGAGTAAGGAAGAGTGACTTATTTTAATACTGGAACTCACTCAAGTGCCATTTGTAATTATCTAATGAGCTGCAATTTGACAAGCTCTCCATTAAGCTCATAAAATATCGAAAGGCTGGTTGGGTACAGTTAATGAATTCTTTAGTTTTTTAAACAAAATTTTATTGTGAAGAAAAACCAAGAAAACCTTGAAATTTGGCTAATCAGCCAGGTAAAACGTTTGTCAATTGAAAACCATTGATTGTAAAAATTAATAAGAGAGTTCTGGAGAACTACAACTACATACACTGCTTGACAATTGCAAAGAAGCAACAGATTTATGCAAAGTAGCGTTTCCGACAGCCCACCAATTACCATAAA